TATCTAGATGCGGGGTATTTGTTGGTTGAGCACTGGTGTTTTTGGTATATCTGGATGCGGGGTATTTGTTGGTTGAGCACTGGTGTTTTTGGTATATCTAGATGCGGGGTATTTGTAGGTTGAGCATTCGTTTGATTTAAGATATTTGTTTACTATGTGGTTGTGAACGAAATGCTGCTGCATAGGTAAATTAAGGTGTGGGCTGGGTAGGTGAAGTTGTGATATTGGTGTCGGTAGGGGTGGTGTGTTTGTAGTTGTCTTTAGTGCATGATTTATTTCCATGTATTGGCGAATCCTTATATCAATGCAAGCTTTGTTTGTCTGAATTTCGCGCAAAGTTATTCAAGGGCTATCTGCGCTATCTGTCCCTAATTTTGAAGTAAGGGAAAACACATAGTGCGTTCCTGGTCTATCACACGAGAGTGTGATAATATTTTAATAATTGTCATTGTGTAGCTTATTTTAATTTTAAACGAATACTTTAACCGAATCTACTTTGAAGTGAGATTTAATTAAAATAAATATGAACCATGACCCGCATACTGTGAGTCGAATGCCCTAACCACCAGGCCTCGGTACAAAAAACAACTGTATTTAAGGAACAGGTAAACTTGATTTCAATCACACTACCCTAACAGGAAATCGGTAAGCCTTGTATTATATAAATTTGTTTGCAGGTGGTCTCTAAAGATCTGTGACTGTTTATATATATATATATTTTTTTTTAGAATCTGTAAGTGTATATTAAAGCCCTTTCATTGCGATTTAATGTCGGCACCCATGTCGAACAGCTCAAAGTAACGATTTAATGTCGGAACCCATGTCGAACAGCTCAAAGTAAACCATTTCAAGCTTTACGAAATTCGTTTTAGTATGTCATAATTCAATAATACAAAACCCGGCTCAATTCTACAAAACTATAACTATTGTGATAACACTAAAACCATAACTCAATTTCTCATCAGTGACAGGCGACGTCATACAGTATTTCAGTTGGTTTGCAGTTGAATAGTCGCTTTATGAATACGGAGTATATTTTACACATAGTCGCTTTATGAGTACGGAGTACATTTTACATATAGTCGCTTTATGAGTACGGAGTATATTTTACATATAGTCGCTTTATGAATACGGAGTATGTTTTACATATAGTCGTTTTATGAATACGGAGTATATTTTACATATAGTCGCTTTATGAATACGGAGTATATTTTACATATAGTCGTTTTATGAATACGGAGTACATTCTATATTTTGCTTTGTCGTTTTATGAATACGGAGTACGTTTTACATTTTGTCGTTTTATAAATACGGAGTATGTTTTACATATAGTCGTTTTATGAATACGGAGTATATTTTACATATAGTCGCTTTATGAGTACGGAGTGTGTTTTACACATAGTTGCTTTATGAATACGGAGTATATTTTACATATAGTCGCTTTATGAATACGGAGTATATTTTACATATAGTCGCTTTATGAGTACGGAGTATATTTTACATATAGTCGCTTTATGAATACGGAGTATATTTTACATATAGTCGCTTTATGAATACGGAGTATATTTTACATACAGTCGCTTTATGAGTACGGAGTGTGTTTTAACATAGTTGCTTTATGAATACGGAGTATATTTTACATATAGTCGCTTTATGAGTACCGAGTATATTTTACATATGGTCGCTTTATGAGAACGGAGTACATTTTACATATGGTCGCTTTATGAATACGGAGTATATTTTACATATAGTCGCTTTATGAGTACCGAGTATATTTTACATATGGTCGCTTTATGAGAACGGAGTACATTTTACATATAGTCGCTTTATGAGTACGGAGTATGTTCTATATTTTGCTTTATCGTTTTATGAATACGGAGTACATTTTACATTTTGTCGTTTTATAGATACGGAGTATATTTTACGTACAGTCGTTTTTCATACAGGTTAAAAGTATTTACTTGAAAACAAATAGCATTCCTATACTCTTATTGTTTAAGACTCATAACGTAGATAAGTTAATATGTAGAATAATAAACGGACTTTTCTCTACGTTAAAATACTTTTATTGCGAGCTTTCGCTTACCGGAGCCTTCATCGGGCAACAATGCATTGTTGCCCGATGAAGGCTCCGGTAAGAGGGCCGAAAGCTTGCAATAAAACTATTTTAATATAGAGAAAAGTCCGTCAATAATTCTACATCCTATACTCTTGTTAGGCAACTACTTTTATACCTATTGGTCCCACGCCGTCAATGGTAATAGTAATGTTTAGTGCTAACATTTAGATAGATAGATAATATATTTTATTTTTAAACAGTGTCTGCTGATGTCTATGGAATGTGGCAGGATGAGCCTTTGTCTTCAGCAATTATCGGAATTCCTCGTGTATATCCGGAAACTTCGAGAACAATCAGAATGTGAAGCAAGCATAGCAAAGAAGAAAGATACACTGGATACCGCGAACAAGAGGACTTGCTGGGTTCGAGATTATTTCAGTTTCTAACTTTTCGACTATCAAGTGCCCGTCACATACTACGATTTCAATTTACCATCAAACTAGGTTCTATGACAACAGGAACAATTTACGTGGTTTACGTTATAAAACAGGCTTTCAAGAAGCGAACCCCTCATCTGACCAGCAAGAAAATTATTATTTATTCTTTATTTTATCCACTTTGTAACTCTCTGTCCTAACTCTAGCCTTCGTGTTATTTGACCTGAGTTCCGGCTCTCCTTTATGAGACTATCTAATATATTTATCTTGACTCTAAGTAAAATCTGATCTGGATTTTTACTCATTATTGATAGGACTTCAAGTTCTTAATGATCTTATCCTTAAATTACCTTGATGCAGTGTCTGTCTCACGTTTCATTCGATTTCAAGTTGATCCTTTACGAACTTCATGTGACCCTAATTTACTTTATGAAATTAATGCAAGTCTCTTGTAAATCTTAGCTTATTCGATATTAGCCTTAATATCTAGCACCCAAATACATCGTTGATCAGTTTAATCTCGGTTTTCTAGAAATACCCTTGACTTGACCTTAATATCAAGTTTATCCCACAGGTACTTACATATCAGCCAATCCTCTATCAGGCAAAATATATATATAATAATGAAATATATCTATACATGTATATTCATATCGTTTAATCTATATTTTCCCCTTTATTACGGTGCTCTTTTTTTTATTGTGAACACGAGTGTACAGAGTAACCCGAAATGTCAAATTATTTTCAAACAAGATGTATATTCATCAATCTATGTCTTGATATCTTAATCCCGATAGCTTTTAATTAGGGATGTCTATATATATGTGTGTGTGAGTGTTTGTATGTATATGTGTGTATATATAAATATAGGCATTAAAATGCATATATATATATATATCATAATAAAGCCACTGTTACCTACTCAATGTCAATGTAAGTGTAACCATTAAAGAATAATAAAAACCCAATACTTGTCTGCTAGTTTTATTGAGCTTGTGATCGTGTTTATATACTAGTACAAATTATGGAAGTCACAGCTGAGTAGGCATTAAAGCTGAGTGAAGCATTTCGATTTAATCCGCACATAATACTATGGCGCATTAAAACTGGTGTTCCGTTTACAGAATTTTTTCCTACAGCTTAATCATCGTATTTATGCCTTGTGAGAGGTAAGTATTATGGTCCTATTTAATGAATCCTACTAGTATGTCATATAGTATACACGAAATACGTTAAGACTGTGTGACGCTAATTAATAAGTCACGATAGTAAAGTAATATCAATTTCACATAAGGGCGCAAGCACTAGTTATACTGGAGATGCGGCAGCACTCCCTGGTTTGAATAATGGGGGGACTACATCTGCTGGTGTGTCAGAATAAGGGCGCAAGCACTAGTTATACTGGAGATGCAGCAGTCCTCCCTGGTTTGAATAATGTGGGCTACACCTGCTGGTGTGTCAGAAGGAGGGCGCAAGCACTAGTTATACTGGAGATGCAGCAGTCCTCCCTGGTTTGAATACTGTGGGCTACACCTGCTGGTGTGTCAGAATAAGGGCGCAAGTACTAGTTGTACTGGAGATGCAGCAGCCCTCCCTGGTTTGAATAATGTGGGCTACACCTGCTGGTGTGTCAGAAGGAGGGCGCAAGCACTAGTTATGCTGGAGATGAGGTTTGAATAATGGGGGTTACACATGCTGGTGTGTCAGAAGAATAGTGTTGACTGGTACTCCTTAAATGTTGCGTTGCATGTTTGTCGATAGTTCACACAAAGTTATATGACGTGTGATTTCCTTCCTAGATATTAGCCACTTTAGGGAAGAGTGTGTTCCTAATAGTGTACTTAAACATTCCTATACTTATGTACTTTTAGGTTTACTTACTTTCAAGATTACGTGGTAAGCTTATTGTAAACACTATAACAGAGACTATTTTTACTTTTATTTGCGTAAATAAATAAACGTGTTAATGCTGGTTTCGTTTTATTAACACGTTTCAACGTTACAGCAACCGAATGCGTGGTTTCCTTCATATACGGGAGTTACAGTTTTGTTTAATAAAAAGAATTTCAGCGTCAACTTCTTCGCTCTTAAGTTTGCATATATAGAAATACATGATATAAATATAACCTTTAATGTAGAGCATTTAAGGTATCCATGGCGAGTAACGTACGTGAGATTCGGTAAAATGAATCAAACACATAGTCCATGGCGAGTAACGTACGTGAGATTCGGTAAAATGAATCAAACACATAATGAATAAAATCGTGATCACTTACATTTTATTCGATCAAGAGTCCAGAAAGCATATAAAGAATCTCGCAAAACCTTAACAGATCTTCACCTATTAGTTCTGAATCTACGTCACTAATTATCACGGGTAAAATATTCGTAAACCCACCTTAGGTCATTGTCACATACTTTGTACAGAAAGAGAATGTGGAGTTAAAGGTGGTCTACATTAGTTATTCGTGCTATGTACGAGGTGTTAGATTACAGAACATATACTGGGTGAACTCGATAAAACTGAACTGAACATTTCGGAAACTTGCCGTGTAACTCAGCTATCACAATGTCTTTATATCGCCAAGCTCAAGTGTTTTTTTTTTCCCCTTTTAATACTGAAGGAAACTTCACATTATAAATAACTCTAAAGACACAGTCTAACGTTCGTCACTTTAGACCTTAAAATTTACTATGCAAACTGAAAAGAAAAACTAAACAAGAATTAACCGAAAGTATGAACACAACATTTACTACAACTTGTAGATTTCTCGGTTACTTTCTAGGCTAAAGCCTCATAAAAACCTATTATTCTGTGAAAATTGCATGTGCAAACCTCAAGTCACTTTAAAATTATCGTGGTGCTCACGTGTCAGTTACAACCACTGATTTTGAAAAGCATCTGTTGTTATCAGCCATGACTAGCCTTTTATCACTCTTTATCCAATAAGTTAGAAGAATGGCAAGACGCCAAGTTAAATGTCACAATGAATTGTGTACTTAGTGTTGCTTTTGATAAGTTACTATATCACGGGAGATCGGCCAGGGGGCGTTACTTCTAGGTTCGATAATTAATGTCATGTCGTTGAAATGTAACTCTTTATCGTGCAGAAAACGATAACAGTTCCTGAATGCAGTCTAGCACGGCATAATCTCGACTGTAAGCATCTTCAGATTAATCATACTGTACAAATTCCTCGACATTCCGCTTTGAATACGATGTGGGAGTTATAACCACTCTCTCTATACAAGTACCTGAACATTCATTCGTCAATATTGTGTGGGAGTAATAGTCAATCTCTCTATACAAGTACCTGAACATTCATTCGTCAATATTATGTGTGGAGTAATAGTCAATCTCTCTATACAAGTACCTGGACATTCATTCGTCAATATTATGTGGGAGTAATAGTCAATCTCTCTATACAAGTACCTGAACATTCATTCGTCAATATTATGTGTGAGTAATAGTCAATCTCTCTATACAAGTACTGGACATTCATTCGTCAATATTATGTGGAAGTAATAGTCAATCTCTCTATACAAGTACCTGGACATTCATTCGTCAATATTATGTGGGAGTAATAGTCAATCTCTCTATACAAATACCTGAACATTCATTTGTCGATATAATGTGGGAGTAATAGTCAATCTCTCTATACAAGTACCTGGACATTCATTCGTCAATATTATGTGGGAGTAATAGTCAATCTCTCTATACAAGTA